TTTATTTGACCAGAGAGAGAGGGAAAGTGAGAAAACAAGCCACCAAGTTTGGAACTTGAACCGTAGTCAGCCATGTGGCAGTGTCTAGTGCCTTAAACCACCATGCCACCTATTGAGCCCATTATTTTAAAATTTTTAAGAAAGATTTTTGCCATAGGGCATGTATACTTGCTAGAGAGACAGAGACAGACAGCAAGAAATCACCCACCAGAGGAATGGTCAAGCAGCAATCCCTTCTCCTCTCAGAATTTTGGCCACACATGCATACGCACTCAGTGTGAGTTTTAAGCCACCAAGTCCGGGACTTGTACCACGGTCAACTACATGGGAATCCAGTGACTTAACCATTTCGCCATCTGCTGGTCCCTAAGTTTTAATATCTGTTATATATGATACAATATTGCATTTATATTCATTGTGCATACTTTATCATCAGTTCCATGAACTTTGTGAGGTCCCCTAGCATATATGGTTTCCTATACATACCTAAGAGAAAGATTAATTTATAAATTGGGTACAGGGAGAGATTAATAATAGAACAACTAAAATAATATATTGTAATATGAATGTAGTCCCCCCCCCCCAAATACAGTATCTTATTGTACTCTACTCACCTATTTATGGACTAAGGAAGGTGCAACCACAGATAATGAGATAGACACTACTGTATGGGATTTTTTTTCTCAAAGGTTTTTCAAATATCTCATTTAAGGAATTATGTCACTGCCCTGCAAAGGGAAAGATCGCGGTGAACAGTTAGGACGTATGTGGAAAGTGGGTAGGGAGACGTCAGGAAAAGTAGACTTGATTTTGCGGCTTCCTCAAATCCCAGCCCACTGTGGGCATTTGTAGCCTGAGGCGGGAACAGTGTGTGCCTCACTGGTCCCTGACCTGCTAGGTCACGCTCTTCAGAGGGGCCCTGGCTCGAAGAGAAGACTCGGAGGCAGCGCCACACCCTGCTCAGTCTCTTGGCCAAAGAACTCCAGGCCTCCAGAGACAGGCAAGGGGAGCAGCCCCAGCTCCCCAGCTCCCACTCGGACGCGGATGGGATGTGCAGTGGTGATTCAGGCTGAGCAGTCCAGCAGATCAAGTTCTGGGACGAGTCCAGAGTGGGGGTGGGGGGGAGGGAAGGCGGAAGGTAGTGATGGTTAACAGTTACTGACAGTGGGTCCCACTCATTCCCCAAGTCTATTTTACGACTTTGAACTCGGTATGCAAATTTATGCAAGACGAGATGCAAAGCAGTGCTCTGAGCCAGAAGTCCTGTTGCTTGCCCCCCCTCTTTTTTTGAAGCTGCACTGAACCACTGTAAATCAGGGCTTGCTTTTGCCCCCTTTTATTCTCCCCTAGCGACTGCAGATGCAGAGCCTCCCCAGGCCGGCCGCCCTGGGACTCTGAATGACTGCACAATTCTATAGCACCTTTATACGTGCAGCGGGCCAGACGGCCACTGGGGCGCCCCGCCCCTCAGCATAATCCCCTGCATTGTACAGGGCAGGGGAGGAAGCTGTGGAGATGCTGGGGAACTAGTCCAGCCAGGCCTGAATTCTGAGAGGGGCCAGCCTGGCCCAGTCTGTTTCCCCCTTCTCACTCCACATTTACAGGCACTTCTGCCCCCTCCACCAAACACACCCACACACTTTTAAAGTATCCCGACTTCAGCGTCCCCCTTCTATTTTTTGTTCCAGACCTACTGTCCCTACCCCCAGGTCCGACTTCTCCGTTTCTTTGAACCAGTAAGTCTCAGCCCATCACCCCCATGGGAC